AAACGATAATAGGTGTTTTAAATTTCATTTATACAAATTCTCAGACTACTTTGATTGATATATCTATTTTACCAAAAATCTATTTTGCCAAAAAAAAAAAAAAATAAGTAAAGGTCAAAGATATTCTTCGGGGAATAAGCAGAAATTTATTGGTTGATATATATTGGATCAATTTATGATCTCATAATAATTCTTAAATTTTCACAATATTTGACACCTAGAATGTTCTACAATAAAGTCGCGTGTCTTTTAATAAAGCCATTATGCAAATCAAGAGATTTGTCAACATGATTAAATGAATAATGAATATAATAACGAACGAACAATTTTCTATTTGTCGATACTTCAATTTATAGATTGTAAATATTACAAAGAAGTCGAATAAATTATTTTCTGGGAATTCTACTACGAACCGAATAACACATCATATTTCTTTCTTGATATTTTGGATAGAATCAAAATTATTAGAGAATAAACTAGAAAGAATGTTGTACCTAAATAATATAATAACGATTAAAAAATAAATACGATTTTAATTTTCGTTCACTTTTAAATGAATTAAGTAGCTCTTATATAAACAGAGTAGATACCATATTTCTAAAAGTTATTATACAAGCAAGAGATTTATAATTTCCATACATCATTGCACTCATAAGATTTAATGTACCATAATTAATAACTACATGAAGTATTAATGCTTGAATTACCATGTGTCCGGTTTTCACTAATCCGTTCTCAATTTTTTAGTACTATAAGTGCCGCAGATTTTATAAAGATTTATCAAATAAAAAATCGTTTAAAGACATTGGAAAAATTTATTGGCAACGAACTCTAAAATGACAAATTATTTTTTTTATTAACGGATTATAAATGTAAACAATTATTGCAAAAAAAAAATCAAGACAAAATTATAATCAAGGCCAATAAATTATGCAAATGCTATTGTTATTTCGTGAGAAGAATCGTTTGAAGACATTGGAAAAATCTATTGGCAACAAACTCTAAAACGACAAATTCTTTTTTTCATTAATTGTAAATGCAAAAAATTATTGAACTAAAAAAATTCAAGACAAAATTACAATCATGACTAATAAATTATGCAAATATTGTTATTATGTGAGAAAAATCGTTTAGAGACATTGAAAAAATTTATTGGCAACGAACTTCAAAATGACAAATTAATTTTTTTTATTAACGAATTATAAATGCAAACAATTATTGAAAAAAAATTCAAGACAAAATTATAATCAAAAGCAATAAATTATGCAAATATTGTTATTCCGTGAGAAGACTTAAATAAAAAATCTTCTATATAATTTTATGCATAAGGAAATATGATTAACATATTGCAAATCACTAAGAGCACATTTTCTTATTTATATCAGTCTTGTTAAAGTGTATTATTTTAGTATATTATAAGCAGATAAAACAAAAAATATGTTAAAAATACAGAAGACTATGGCAAAAACCCGGATTCAAAAACACTTAATTAGTTTGTCTAAGAATGTGGTTTGATTTGTAATAAATTTGTTTGTTTTTCAATATATTACCATAATGAATTTTATCTGCAAAACATAATAAATTATGTTGAAATATAAATTGTATTTGAATAATTTTGTTTGTGCCATTAAAGATATCTTTTGATTAAGGATGCAGAAATAATTGCTTTATAACAAATATATCAATTATCATAAATGAATCAACAGATTCTAATATTTAACAAAGAGGTAAACATTTATGTATGAGTATGCAATATTTTAAAATTTTTATGAAAATGCACATCAGCAAGTTGCAATTAGCAAATGATTTATTGGGCAAAATCTATATATCCTAATAATTAGTTAAAAAAAGAAATACTGAACACTAGATATAAAATTAAATATCACCGTATACTTTTTAATAAAATTTAGTTTGTGGGTAACGATTTGTAGAACTTTGAGCTTATTTTTTCAAAATATTAAAAGAAAATTTCTATAATCATAGCTGAATTTGCCATTGATTTTATAATATTTTCACGAAAAATTGGATGTGATATTTTCCAAACCCAAAATATAACATTTGGAATCATGCGAGCTTTGTTTAGTTTCTAACAGACTCAATACAAAGAAATAAATGAATCAGAGTGTCCCAGAACTCAACGTAAAGCCGACACGGGATGACAGTATTGATTATAACAATAATAATAATTGCAACATTGCCCTAAGTTTTCTGAAATTAAAACGGTTTGTTAAATATAAATTTAAAATTTTCAAAATTTGTCGATTTTGAAAGGCCTTCCATTAAAAAAATGTTCTAATGACATTAGAATAAAGGTGCCATGGCAAGTTTCATTAAATATCGGGTTATTTTTAGGGTTTTATTTTTTCACCCGTTTTTGAAAAGTGACATATCTGATGCCATCATCAGTGGTACTAGTGTTAAGACAGATCTAAACTAATAATAAGGATAAACTAAATAGAGTCTTGATTGAGTCCATATCAAATGCGAATTAAACTGTACTCTATCCAAATTCAATGATGAGTTTTTAATAATATTTTTGATTTTGTCATATGTCATATGATGAGTTTTTAATAATAATTTCTATGTTGAAATATATGTATCAGAATTATTATAAGAAACGCAACGAAGAACAAGAAACCATGTTGAAATATATCAAAATTATTGTAAGAACTATTATAAGCTTATTCATGCACATATTCGAATTCTTCGTATTATACGTTGACATTTAATTCAGCCTGTCATTTCTAAATCAAATTTTTCCACATTCTGACAGGATTACTAATGAGTGTAAAAATCTAAATGTAAGCAACTACGATGACTCTATCACAAAAATCAGATAGACGAATACGAAATAACGTCTACATTTCTCCGATGTGATTACGAAATAACACTAATAATGCTGCTAATTATACAATATTTCTTTGAATAACTTATTTTATCAATTCTAATAAGCAAATATTTGAAAAAAAAACTAAGTGCCCTTATACACTTTGTGTTTAGCAATTATACACATATGGGAATTATAATACACTTTCTACATTATGTAATAAATATAATTCCATCTGCCAAACAATTTATATTGTTTTAATTTCTGGCACACCTCATCTGGTTTTCGGCAATAATATTGTAGATATTACATTTTTCTTATTCATAGTCATGAATATGGATATTATATACTAATATTGTCTAGGCTCGCTTATACTAAATTCTAATTTCAAGTGAATCGACATTTTTGGCAGATGACTGCTCTCATGTATCAAAATGATTTTCAATATAAAACAATAATATGTTGTTTTTTGCATTTTTTCCATTTATTCTACATTATTACTATATTTTTATAATCACATAAATGATAAAAAAATCCCTTAACAAACTTCAGAAAGATTTATCAAAAACCGAGTAATCGTTTAGGAGGAGGATATTTGCATACATCATTACAGAAAAATTTTATATATAAGATAAATATATATATATATACTAGCTGACCCGGCAAACGTATTGCCATAAAAATATTTTTTCTAGTATAAAATGTTTAGCATGAAAATTACTAACTGAATTCAAATGTGGTGCACTCAAGTGAAAGAAGCAGCTACCAAAAAATATATGAAAATGTTTACCCATTGCAAAGTATGCCACATATAAATGTCCCTTAATAGTCTTTGCAAGTGCCAACCTAATCTGAAACCGATTATATTTAACCCTTTCTAATCGGATGCCGTCGCTCCGGCGACAAAATTCATATAAATATATGAATAATTCCCTATCGAAAACTGTTATATCTTCAGATTTTAATATTCAGTATCCATATTTCTTTGCAAAAATTGCTTTTAATGCATATCATTTTCAAGTCTTTTTCAGAATAGCATACGTTTCGAGAGATGATCAAAAAACCGTTCCTTTACAAGTCTTTTTTACTTATTTTATTTACTTTTTTTAATATTTACGAATTAAACTTTTTTTATTTACAAATTTAATAGCAATTAGGATCTTATTACTCTATAAGCTATTGAAATATATTTAAACTCAAAACTGAGTTCGCAAATGTTGCTTGTTTAGGATACTCTCCAATGAGAACATTATTTTAGTACAAGAATTTCATAATTAAATGTTAAAAAAAATCACTAGCACCTCTTACTAATAATTAACTATATTAACCGAAATAAAAATAAGAAAGTTTTAATCAGATTGTATGTAAATCATCAATCAACCAAATGTTTTACACATTTCTTACGCCTAAGAACATCAATTTTTACAGAATTTGTCTAATTTACAAAAATGTCTTCATTACTTGTTCTCAATAACTACAAAAACGACAACTTTTGACGAAGACAATTATGGAGAAACTATAAGATTTTTTTTCTCAAAAAAAAAACACAAAAAATTCAAGGTGTTATTGCAGAACACATATTTCAAGCAGATTGCTCGGTCGGATGTTCTTAATGTCATGGTCCAAGTTTCATAAGACTTTGGTATAAGTGATATAAAATTAACCATAATTCTCAGAACAATAAAACTTCAATAAATTTGTAAACTTGTTAAACATATTTACTGTTTTCTCATTAGTAATTTTAAATCAATATTTTTATGACCATAAGGACGACCGTTGGCCTTGACACTTAAATTCGGCGTTAAAAAAATTATTAATAAATTTGCATTTGAAATTAAACCTTGTATGCATTATTTTGTGCATAGCTTTCGCAACTATTATGCAAAAATAACAAAACAAGGTATAGTCTGAAAAACAATTTGATTAAATGATTTAAAAACTAAATAATTTTAAGCTGTAAATTAGTAGTAAAAATTTAACTGCTTGAACATAGAAGAAAGATTAGAATTGGAATTGCAAAAAATGTCGTCCACAGGATAATAGAAAATTCGATGGATTTTAGATAGTAGTGATAAATATTAAAAATAAAAACCTAAAAAAAATTAATTATTGCATTAATGTATATAAGAAAAATAAATGATTAAGCCTAGAATATAAAAGTTGTGGGTATAATATGAACAAGGTAAATATACCTAATGTAAAAAATCACACCTGTGAAAATTATTATCAAATAAGAAGTTAATATGTTATTTACCGTTGTTTTTTTTTTAATTACAACATTTATTACAACTGTTAAATAGTTTAACACCTAGCAATAGTGATAAATAATAACATAAATTTAAATAAATAAGAGTGCAAAGAATAGAATTTACATTAAAATGAAATCCGTAGTATGATGATTTAATATAAAATATAAGCAAATAATAATAAAAATAAATAAAATAAATAAAATTCGAATTCAATGTCATCATCGTCTTTATGACCACATAATAATAATTTGAAATTACAAATAAGAAAAATAAATATGTTAAACAATTTTACAAATTTATTGGAGTTATATTGTAATAAAAACTATAATTTAACTTTGTAAGTTTTAAAATAAAATTGATAAAAATTTGGTAAAATTATAAAATTTTATAGTAAAATTGAAAAAGAAAATTTTTTGATATGTATTTGAGAGCTTCTTCAAATTTGGTCTAAAAAGTTAACAAAGTAATGTGTTAAAAAAATTATAAGTTTTCGATGAAGGTGATAGAATATAAGAAGGCTCCAAAAGAATAAATTATATTTGCATTGTATATATAAGACACATTATATAAACATCGCCTAAAAAAAAATATAAGGAAAAAATAGTCCTAAGCTATAAAAAATGTGATGGGGAAGAAAAATCGATGAATTTTCGATAGGTGTGAAAAAATATAATAATGAGAGGCCGGCCCGAAATAAAAAAAATATATTTGAAATGTATATAAGAAAAATAAATGATGAGGCTAAAATATAAGATGTCTTATATGTATGTAAAAATAATTAAAAAGTAAATAAAAAATAAGAATTAAATAAGAAAAAATATAAGAATTTCAAACCATTTCAGTAAATCGTATCATATTTGTATATAAATACTGTAATTAAATTAATTAAAAATTTAATTCTATATTATATTATTTTTGCGATGCTATTACACTTTATTAAATTATTGTTTCTCATTTTAGGCAAATTGGTATAGAGCAGCACAATATTGTCGTTTCCACGGTATGCACCTGGCAAGCATATCATCACAAGAAGAAAACGACAAATTAGAAAAAAATATACGAGATTTTGGTAAGTAATAATTAATAGCAGGTAATAAAACATTTTCTGAACCTGAAAATCGCAGGTTTTAGCAAAAATGTGGACAAAATATTTAACCTTTTTCTACTAATTATAAAGAAACGGCAGATCATCTCGCAATCGAGTTACATCTAATAACTTTAAAATTTTTGAAATCGGTGCAGTCGTTTTTAAAAAAAACACAGAAGATATGGTGAATCTTGGCTCACATACACACACATACGTTTTAAAATTTTAGTTTAAATGATGGTTAAAAATGATTTGCAATGTCTAGTAAATGTAAAACTAACAAGTCGGATTTTCTGCTGAAACCATAAACTTCTCCTTTGGAAAGTTGCTAAATTAATGCAAACAACCCCGATATAAAATTATTAATTTTATATCCAACGCTCTCAAAATGTATAATTTACTTATTTAAATATTAGAGTCTCGTCGATACTGTTAGAGCAAAGCAAAGGAATCCAATAGAAACAAAAACTATACTATTATTATTCATCTAAATTGCATCTATAAATTATTTCACAACTCTCATTACAACAATTTATAAGACGATTAATTCAAAACCAAAAAGCCTATTATGATCTTTATTGTGAAATTATTTGTAATTATGAAATTGGGAACGGTTTGACGATCCTGAGGCTAAATTCGTAATATAACAAAAAATATTTATGCAATGTTTTGATGAATTAGTACTTCGACGATTAAATCGTGTATGGAACTAATAGGCAATAATGTTTCATTATATATTTAATGGGATGAGTATACAAGGTATTAAAACGAACAAAGCGTAACCACTTTATGGCCAACTATGCCAGATATTTTTATTACTTTCGGCGGAGTTAACTTTTATAATTAAATAGTTTATGAACGCATAAATATTTCATTTGGCTTTAATATTTCAGTGACCTACAACTTATACTGCAACATAAATTTTGATTCAAGACGTAAATTGTACATAATATTTTTATTTGTCGTAAATTTGTTTTACTATTGTGTTCTGAAATTAATATTTAGCTATAGATAAAAGAGGATGTAAGTGGTATTTTATCATATGGCAAGTTGCATAAACTTCCTAGATATGTGTAAATATAATCAATAGGAATTTAGAATTAACAACTTGAAACTTTTGGAAATTCTATTCCATCATTCCAAATTCTGACGACATTTTTTTACAAACTGCAAATTACTTTTAGAAGGAGTATAATATTTTAGGATTTTTTTTATTAATTTAAATATCTGGGACAATTGCTTAATAACATCTAGAAATATTAGATATACAAATAAAATATTACAAAATAAAAGGCTTTCGAAATACTCCAATAAATGGATGTAAAATGATATCCGTACGATGATAATTTAATATGAAATAAAAAGCAAATAATAATTTAGATAATAATAAAATTAATAAATAAAATAAATAAAATTTGTGAATAATAGAGAAATAATACTAAGTACAATAAAAACAATAAATGACAAGTAATAATAAATTAAACTTGTGCAGTATGGCATCGTGCCTTGAGGCAAATTGCTGAAACTTCCCGTACCGTAACGAAATGTTCGAGTAATATTAAATGTTTTCAAATAGATTATTATAAATACTGTAACATTTTCTAATATTTATAAGAATTTTTTAAACTGAATTACAACAAAATTATTTTTTTAAAGCATATAAGTGAGCCATAGAACTTCAACCAGAATTAAAATTAAAATCTGAATTATTTTCGACCAACTCGATTTCTTTTTTCTGCACTCTTTTCTCCGTATATCCATATCAGGTTGACCTGCCTTTGTCAAAAACTAATCAGCATATCTCCCTATCAATAGGATTCTAATATTTTTTCAACCATTTATATCGGATGATCCGTGCGTCCAAAAACGTGGACAAAAAATTGCAGACACATAAACACATCCATTTTTTCTGAGGTATTCCAAAATGTTCAGAAACCTCTAAAACGTAATGATATGCAAAAATTCTCGTTTTCGATTCTTGGCCCATTACTATAACTTATATAATAATAATAATAAAATGAACTCAATCATCACAAGAAATTTCATCAAAAAATTCAAAAACTTCCAAAATTAATTATGAAGAAACGGACCAGTTGTTCTTTACTAAAAACTAGTTTGCACGGTTTCCATCTGAATCTGTAAAACAGCTTATGAATTTCCAAAATTGGTTCAAGGTTTTTGAACCGAAAATTATGCACTTTTCTGCTAATCAACGTAAATTAATCCTTTTTAAATCAATGCAACCGTTTTTTTTTGGAAAACGTCGACGATAGATCAATTTTTAAACATATAAACTCATACTTTTTGTAATATTGGTGCCAATAAACTATTCAGAACAGCTTCCATTGTGAAGAAAAGATAAAATTAACAAATCAGATTTTATGGCGAAGACTACTTTTTCTGGAAGTTATTTAATATAAATACTTAAAAAACTTAACGATGATAACAGAGAAGAAAATGAAAATAAATTGTTTCCTTCCACAATGCGATTTATTTGTTGAATATATAAAAACACATGTTTTTATGGATTTACTAAATAAATTGATAGAAATACTTTCTCAATAACCCAGATCCCTTTTCCGTTAGAGAATGCAATCGAATGGAAATCCCATTTCCATATCTCTTTTAATTTGCCAGTTAAATTAGAATTAACTTAAAAAGTTTCCTTTCCATACTATTTATATAATAAAAACATACATAAAAATGTACATGAAAAATTACCAAAAATGATTTGAATAAAGGAAAAAAAAGATTACCACTCCAAATGGTATAACTTGTTAATTCTACATTTTAAATCAACTTTGCAACAATTTCTCGGTACTTGAATCGCCATTGAATCTTGCTTTACGAAATATATTTCTGTAAACAAACAACTGCAAAAAAAAAACAAAAATGTCACTAACCTTTCAAATATCATCATACCAGGCCTAGGACACGAACACTTCTGGACCTCCGGAACTGATCTGGCCGAAGAAGGAACCTTCTTCTGGATGGCAACAGGAAGACCTATCACTTTCACGAACTGGAACGCAGGGGAGCCCAACAATTTCCGATACGAAAACGGAGAGGAAGAAAATTGTCTTGAATTATGGAACAGAGACGGCAAAGGACTTAAATGGAACGATACGCCTTGTTCATTCGAGACTTACTTTATCTGTGAAGTTCAATAGTTTTATATTTTAAAAACAAATGGATTTACCAGTTCTACCAAATATGAATAATTAATGTAACCACTATAGGTGGATTGTAAACAACAACGGAATATATATATATATATATATATATATATATATATAATACATCTAAGATACTAAGAGGAATATAAGAAATTCCTTATAACGTCAGCAAAATGCATCTTATCATTAAATATGATATTTCTTAGAAAACGATCACTTGTATGATTAAAATTGTAAAAAGTATTTGTAAGTTAATTAAACCGTAAATTTTTTTCAACATGATACTTATCTTCAAAAAAACGTATTCTGTACTACCTTACGCATTTAATAAAAAAATAATATTAGTTATTTTTAAGTAACAAAGTCAATTATTTCAGCGAAAATATTGAATAGAATAAATAATTGTAAAGTCTTACTAACTATAAACACTTTTATATAAAGAAATTCCAAAATGGTATTGTGTATAATGTTAAATTTCAAACATGATTTGTTTTTTAATAAAATTAACAACCCACATTTCGTTGTTAAGAATAAAAAGATTTTGTTTACCAAGGGCCATATAATAATTTTATATAAATTAAATGTTATTCACGCCAAAGATTCCAACGAATAATTTGGCATCAACATTTTTATTCCTTTTCAAATACCGAAAATAGGCTAAAATCAACTTATCTGAAATTATTTTTAGCGTTTATAATAATTGTACATAGTTTTAATTTTATACTAAATTAGAATATAATTAAATTACTTGCGCGATATATTTATAATACTGCCAGTTTGATTATGCAAATAAATGTGTATCACTCGAAAAAAATTTGAATCATTCTGGCTTGATTATTATTAGCATTGCAGATCAATAATAGATATTTTGTATGATATAAGCATCAAATAAAATAAATAAACATTGTTTATAAATTTAGCAAGCAAATTGTTTATGAAATGTTTCATAGATTTAGTTTCAAATAAATTTAGTTGTATGTATGTATAATCATCAGTTTTCACTGTAACACCACATAAATATAAAATGTACATTAAATAAAAATTGTATTGAAAAAAGTGAAATAAAAATTGTTAAATAAATTCATATGCAATTACGTTATTCAAGTATGAAAATTTCAAGAGTATATATTATTCACTTAAGCCTGTAAAACAAGTAATAAGTATCCGTTAGTTGCTATGAAATATATATTTTTGGCAATCCATATTTTGATAAAAAATTTACAATTTACATATTTATAGATAACAGTTCTACTTTAAGCTATTTATACCCAGTCCCTTATATTATAGTCTGTAATACTGATATGCTCTATATTAAGTATAAACAGAGTTTTCACTCCAGAGTTTATTCCTCCAAATATTATCAATTATTATCAAAATATATTACACTTGTTCTGTATTGTGATTTTCCAAAGACAAATCAAGCTGGAATTTGAATTTCAAAAAAAATTGTTTGGGTTGAGGAAAAAAATAATTTGAATGGTAACACAATATGTTTTCAAACCCTGATAAAATAGCAGAGTAGTAAATATTTAAAAGTAACATATTTATAGCCATTGATATATATATTTGTTCTGCATATTAAATATGCAAACCGGTAACACTTAATATGATTTTCGGTCACATCCGCAAAGAATTTTCATTATCATATAAAAATATCAATAATGGAATGAGATAAAATCAAAACTTACAGTTCAACACAAAAATCCATAGTTATCACATTTATAGTTCAAAACTGGGTTTAAAATAAATATAAATATATTAAATTATTGAAATTTACACATCACAAATTTGATCAAATAAAAATTCTTTTGTTAATCATTATTAATTTCTAAAATTATTATGAACATAATAAATTTTGCTCTAAAACCATTTGTTCCATGCAAATTGTACCTGTAATCAACATTTTTCTTTATCAGTGTGGACTCAAATGTAAATATTCAGCTATAAATAAACGTAGTAATTTGTTCAGATTTTCAATAGTATTCATATCTAAAGCAGTCTTATCATCAGCAGGTGTGTGCCACACAGGGGGGAATGGTGTTGGAATTAAATGGAGAATTGGAACATCTAAAAAATACAAAATAATAAAAACTTATAAATTAGATAAGTTGATGAATATTATTTTTTAATATTCAACATTGAAAATTTTATTTATATCTTTGTTTCTGCATTTTTTGTGTAACTGCATGTTTGAAATAAATAAATATAATATTTTTTTTTTTAAATTTTATGTTTTCAATTTCATTTATGTGTTACACAAATTGTAACATATAATTGAAAAAGCATTATAAAAATCATAAATATGTTATTTCTATTTGGTCTGGTTAATAAAATAACTTTTTAAATCCACTTCTTAATAAATTGTTAAATAAAAATTATAAAACTGCAAAAAATTTAAAAACTGCACTTTTTGAATAACGACATTCTAATTTGCATTGCAAATATGTGGATTATTATGTGGCACAAATTTAAGTACTATTAAAAGAATGCATATGCTTTCAATACTTTTAGATATTTATTTATATTTATGTTTATATTTATATATATATATATATATATATAAATATAAATTAGTATGATATATATATATATATATATACATTTAATTACCTCTTTGCAAGAATGGAATGTGATCATCCTCAATGCCTCCATTTCTGGACCTCGGCTGGAAATATGGTGTTGGTTTTCGACAATGCGCACAAGAATGTAACAGGCCTAAGGTACCTAATCTTTCTTCAAGTCTCATAAATCTTAAATACCATCTTTCTGTTTCTTTAAAATAGCTGTAGAATTTTGGATTTGCTGATCCAAGTAAATCAAGTAAGATCAAAACATCCTAAAACAAAAAGAGAATATGTATATAATTTCATAATATTTTAACATATATAAAATACAGAAGTAATAAATATATCCATTTCGCATAAAATTGTCTTTTAGTTTATTCTTGCTGGTTTCTAGACAATTTTAGATATAAACAATAAAAATAATTTAGCTCTTACAATTCTATCTAGCTCGCTGTTGTTTTCTCTATTATTTTTTGGATATGGAGTTGAATGCCATTTTGCAGCTAAATGCTTTGCACCATATATAGAATCTCTTGGACCCCATTCTTGAAAAGCTTCTTCGCCATCAAAGAAAATCAACTAAAAAAAATGTATTATAACATAATAATATCTAAAATTGAGGCAATTTTAGAATTATTGGTTTAAAAAAATATTTTACCTTTAAGCTAACATTATTATCTTCTTTAAAATATGGTTTCAAAATTTCCAACAAATTCAACATCATAGCACATGGAACAGCAGAGTCCGTAGCTCCTATAAAAAATAATTCAGTGTGATAAAACCAAATTTTACATTTAATATATTATGTGGAAATTAATATATTCTGTTCATTTACCAAAGAATTCATCATCTGGAAAATATTTGCTATCATAATGGCAAGCCAGCACCACATAACGAGTAGCATTGGGATTAACTCTTCCAATTATATTCTCAAATACTAATTTTCCAAACCCAGGTGCTTCTTGTTGAAATTTATCGGTTTCCACACTAACCCCTAGTCTTTTGAGTTCACTAATTATATAACGTTTAACTTTGGTATGATTAGGAGTACCAACAACTCGAGGTATTAAAATTTGATCAAGAGTATTTTCAAATTTTGGCATATCACTTAAATTTGAAATTTGTTCGATTTCTGAGTCAGATAAATCATAAGCATTGTGTAGCCTCTGGAAGAAAAAGAAATCTTAATTTAGTTTACACATAAACTATAATGAAAATCGAAATCATAAACTATAATGAAAAAAGAATTGGTATATTGATTTAAAAGTATTTAAAAAATTTCGTTATGTAATTTACACTAAAAATATGATTCACAATCATAGTTCTAAATTAAGCAATGCAGCATAATTTAAAATAAAATTGTATAGTACTAATAATACTAATTATTGTTAATTACACCTTTACAAAATGATTGAATTTATATAAGCATTATAAGAACTTGATGCAATTGATGGATTGGGCACATTCAAATAATTGAAAAACTATATAAATGTCCATATATATTTTTTAAATCGGTTCATTAAATGTAATTAATGGTATTACTTTAATAAATTATTTTGCTGTATTATATTCTTAAAGGAGATAACATCAAGTAAAAAACATAAGATATAGATTTTGGCATCCTTATTATTTTAAACGCTTTGACATCAAATCGTAGATCAACTGACAAAAAGAAAAATATGCAAACTAAACATCAAGATGGAAATAGAATATAAATAAATTTTGTAAATATTGTAAAATAAAACTTATGCTTTAAAATCTTCAAATCCTTCTGTCTTTTACTTGATGTTGTGCCTTCCAAAATAAATATTCTATATGAAATTTTAATTGAATTAACAATTAATAATATCGTTCTGAGCGATTTTTTGTAAAAGGTCAATCAGCACATGTCTTTATTAACTTAATAAAACATAATAAATAAAATAAACTTACTCGTTCTTCATATAACCTAGCGCAGCTGTAAGTCTTCGACAACAAGATTGTGCAACAAACATTAAACAATAACGAATTAAACATTTTTCCGTTCAACAATTTGGTTAAAATCATTTTTGTCTTGTTCAGGTTAGAAAAATCTTCGCACGTCAATAATTATATACTATCGTTAAAATTAATCAAAGATCAATGTCATATAACTGTATTTTCCTCAGAACGTGGCGATTCACATCCCGTGAAATGAAAAACATAATGATCCGATGATTCAAATGGTAATTTCGTGATTGGAAAGTTTATTTGTGCAGTTTGACATTGAATATGACATATTGCAAACAAGTTTTATGTGAACAGGGTGAAGTTGGCAAATAAAAATGTTTGCGCGGCAATTTTGAATTTGTTAACAAATGAATATGAAACGAACTAAAGGGTAAATAATTTTGAATGTACTTTTTATTCATTATATATATTATTATATATATATATATATATATTTGTAGACTAATTTTAGTAAACGCTCTTTAGAGAAAATATTGATTTGATAATAAAGAGAAAATGAACTCATAACTAAATATTGAATTTAACTAATTAATATTTTAATTCATATTTTGAAAAAAGTTCTTATAATAATATCCTGAGGTAATATTTTAGAGACAACTAATATAGCCATATTAAATTAGTTCACTTTCATTTAACATTTTTAAGTTAAATGCGGGATAGTTGCTTTAAAAATACTGTGCATATGTATCGTTTTTTTAATATGATTTAAATGTGTGAAATACCAAATAATTATAGATTTGAGTATATATTTTAGAGAATTATACATGGAATGTCCATAATAACAATACTACTATATAATTAAATAATACTACTGAATTGTAGTTAATACATACAAAGAATTATGGAATATTTCAATAATATGAAATGTAAAATATATTTATAACACTTAACATCTTCAAAAATAATTAATATTTTTATAATTGTAGTGCTTACTAGTGAATTAAATTAAGTTAGTTAAAACTATCACTATAGCTGCATTAATACTGCTACATAAAATAAATGCATTTTATAAAATCATGAATAATACTCGCATGCATAAAGTTGGCTTAAAAAGTAATAAAACAATTTATAAATATTCATTAAGTTTGAATGAATAAATGAATGGCAGCTTATATTTTAGTACTATAAACATGATTAAGAAATTTGGGTGCGTGTGAAGCCAACTTTGAATTAAAAATACTCAAAATAACAATCACTAAAGTATGTTCCAGCCAAATGAAAAATGTTTAAAAAATAACATTATAATATAATAAGTAGATAAACATTAACAATTATAAATAGTATCCTAGATTTTAAATATAATCTTTGATTATTAAAATTAAACTATACGACTGTAAAAATTTAACCACAATTTTTCACACTTGAACATTAGTTATTTGAAAATTTGTGCTTGTGCACTCAAACAATTATGTCAAGAATTAGTTAATTTAAATAGTTGTCAAAAATACTTTATTCAATTGACCATTGTAGAACACTGGTGTCATTTCCTCCCAAAGAAATTAGTCTGGAGTCATCAAATAAGAAACGGACTGAGGTAACATGGCTGCTATGGCCCCCATAGGAATGGCAAAGAGACTAAAACAGATAAAACTTGAAATATGTATCCAAATTTAATTTAATATTATAAACAAGTAATTTGAATCTAAATTTGAATATATTCAAAATGCCTTAAACATTGTGAATATTATTTACAATAAAAAAAATTAAAAATATTTCTAAAATAATAAATTATACCTTAAGTTGAGAAGCAGGATATGAGTACAGGTTTACTTTTCCGAAGTCATCAGCTGTGGCAAGTAGTTCTTCATCATTGCTACGAGCACAGGAGTTAATATCTGTACCATCTGCCCCTTCAGGCCAAATGCCGATAGAGTTAAAAGCTAAAACACAATTGTGAGTAGCCCATTGTACATCACGCAAATTGCTAGAGCTTGTAACTTGACGACAAACACTAGGATTCCCTTAAAATTCAGAAGAGTATTATTACAGTTTATCCACAAACTTTGTTTAAAACTTTGAAAATTAACTTACAATATAAAATTTCATAATCTCCTGAGTTACTACGAATATACTGCCCATCTGCTGACCAGTCTAAATGGGTTACAAAACTTGAGTGACCCTGTAAATGTAAAACAAACATCAATTTTTATTCTTAAAAAGTATAAGATAATAAATAAAGTAAATGTAAAAATAAATATATTATCTTACCGCACAACGTCCTACTCTTGAATATTTCCTACATTCCTCACTGACTTGGTAAACATATACATAGTTATCCCGTGATCCAAGAGCCAACATGGTACCATCAGGTGAGAATGCAACACATTGTATTGGTTCTTGTCCATCATGGTGTTTTGTGATCAGATCGCGGCTGACCGAGTCATATACGTGCCATTCACCGGTCAACGTACCGCAGACGATTACACTACCATCCGGAGAGAAAGTGCAGCTTTGGCATTTTTCCTAAACATGTAATAAACCGATTTTATATTTTCACTCAATAACTTATACAAAATTTGATATATATCTAATTACCCCGATATCTTTGCTCCAAACAACGGAATGTGATAATGAATCCCACATCTGCAGTAGACAGTCTTGTCCGGCGGTCACAAATTGCGTCAAAGTAGGATGGGTTGCCAAAGCCCAAAGCTCATCCGTGTGTCCCATAACTGCTGGTTGGAAGGCACCAGCTGGGCCTGTTAGAATACAATTTCTAGTTGTGCCAATCAGAAGTTGAGTTCCACGGCCTTCTGATACTACACGGACACCGCCAAAGTGCCCTTCAACCTGGTAAAATAAATAGTAATTTTTTATTAAAAGAGTGCATAAATAATTTAAACATATTCATGAAAAGTTGGCTTTTGATAATTAATAAAATATTACCATTGTTATAATTCTATTAGGGGCTGTTCAAGTATTACGTAAGCACTGCACTATAGAGGGGCGGGGGGGTTATTGATTTGCTTATTTTGGGTAAAAACTTTGGCTTACTTTTGCTGACAAAGGGGAGGGAGGGGTAAATAATTGTAATAAATCTGCTTGCGTAATATTTACTAAGGGAACGATCCCTTATTCACTTACTTGTTCTTCTGAAACTTGATTCAGATCATCATCAAATGTGACCAGTCGTCCATCTTTTCCACCTCCAGTAACTAAACCGCCGTCTTTCAAAGCGCAAATTGAAAATATTGAACCCTCGTGAACTTTCCTAATCATGTGGCTAATTGTATTTGTTCCTCTTCCCCAAACAATAATATTTCCATTAGAATCACCTGCAGAAAAATTAAAAACAAATAATTATAATATTGTAGTGTTGAAATGAATCTTTTATCTTAATTATCTTACCTGTGATGACGTCACCAGCTTGGTTGAATGCTACACTTGTAACATATTTAGGCTTTTCACGGTTTTCAAACACACCCATCTTTTTATACAATGTGCATCCATTGTCCAGTGTCCAAAATGCAATGTGATTTTTACCACATGTAATGATTCGGTTCAGATCTAGTGGATGGAATTCAGCAGAAACCACTGTGTCTACAGAGCACTAAAATCATATCATAATAATCAATTGAAGAGCCTAATTTATTATGTTATCAATTTTGACCAAGATAAAAAGTGCATTTAATTAAATCTTTCTGTGAGATTTTTGATGCCGTTTGTGATTAAAAACTCACTTTTGTTTGTGTAATTTTCTGTCCATTCTCGCCCTTCTGCCATTCCCAAACGGCAATGGCATGATCTGGCGAATCGTCAACGGAACACAACATCGCACCACCATCAGCTCGGCTGAAGGATAAACAAACTACGGAACCCACAATTTCACCTGATCCTATGACTGCCATTGTGGCTAAGGAAACGGAATTCCAAACGCGAATATGAGCCTAAATATATGATAAAGGATAAAAATAAACTTTGGATTCAATGGTATTTTTTAAAACATTTTTACCTGTGCATTTTCTTTATTGTGACCAGCACATTGACCTGTTGCAACTAACAACTTATTGGGATGCACAGCCAAACTATGGAAAATAAAGCAACAAATTCAAATATTAACTGTGATTAATTATTTTATATATCATAGTGTTGACTGTTTATTTATTTTTGTGTATAAATATTTTACCTCTTAATATCATCAGTATGTCCGAGATAATGACGCTGGCTTTGCTCATCAACATCAAACAACACCACTGTTGCAGCTACAAAATACACCATTTCACCAGTGGGCAGTAAATAAAGATTCGACCGGCAATCACGGCCTCTAAAATAAATAACAATTTGTAATAATTATGGTTTCTTGACATACGTTTATAAATGAATATAACAAAATATTATATGTAATAACCTGTATATATTTCTCATGCAAATTGCCTCCTACGATTTTTATCGATATTTCTTAGACAGTAAGATGTTTTTACCAAATAAGAAAATATTTACGTTGACCGTATGGCTAGTTCATAAATAAAGATTATACATTGAGGCAATAAACTTCAATAAAGTATTATGTAATGTATCATTACCTAATGAGTTCTTTAACATTTTGAAAAAAAAATTATAGAAGTTTCAAACAAATACAGTTCTCATTTCACTATTTGGCAAAATTTTTATCAAATTTACCAGAAAAGCTCAATTTTTTATCAAATTTACCATGTCATAGATTATTTGTAAAGTGAATATTATTAACAGTTACCTCAAAGTAATATATATTTTTAAAGTACGCAAAGTAGGCATTAATTTTTGCATTTTGAATATAAAAAGTTATTTATTATATTTTGCCAACCTGTATCCATAAACCCAATCTAGCTTGAGTTTCTTCGAAGGGGCCGCCTTAACTTGAGAAATATCATAGCTTTCTTGTTGATCTGTTGGACACTGGACAGATATTGGGCGACTCCTGAGGAAAAATCTAACGGTTCCATCTTCTTCATTGTAGGATGCTTCGCGAGAGCTGAAATCAAAGAATTTAATAATCTAAATATTTTTTTATTTATTTGAATGAAAATAGAAATTTTAAGCATCTCAGATAGACGAAAGTGTCTGGTATGAGAGATCGTACAAAATATCTACACAATAGTATATATTTGTTTTCTACATGTCATTATTATATATATGTAAGAAAAATATAAATATGAAAATAAATATGAAATTGATAAATGTTAAACGATAGAATTATAAAATAATTAATAATTATTGTAAATAATTAAAAACTTCCACGAGCAATTACTTATCTAGATATTAATTTAGTCTGATTAAATTATTGTAATATACTCCCAAAATAAATTACACATAAAATTAATATCTTATTAAAACGTTTTTATATAAATCGATCACATAAACTAGAGCATTATAAACACGACCAGAAACCGCAACAATCAACTCATTACAATGAAAGTCAATAGACTGGAGCAGACACGACATTATTATATTTGCATCAAATATTGATTATATTGCTTAATATTTGAACATAAACATATGCATTTCATTGCATATTATATTTAAAAAAACCGCAAGGCATATCTTTAGATAAAAATAATAGTATATATATAGATTTAGTAGAATCAAATTGTAGATTATAACGTAAATTAACATATAAGGTTGCAGATTATTTTAGATTGCCATCATAGATCTTATATTATGTAATATAAGGGGTATGATTGTCATGAATAAAAATTTATTTTTACGTTTAATTTTCACTGCCTGCTACTTTTTATCAAAACGTCAAAAGAATTTTCAACTATTAATACTACTAATCAACTAATAAGGTTTCATCGAATCGAAATTTTGAATCGCCTCAGCTATTTTATTGAGAACGTGAACGAAAGATCAAATTTTTGCTTACATATACATGAACAAGTACTCTTTCGAATTCTGGTCTCAAACGATTCAGAATGAGATCATAATTGGGAACAAACGATCGAAGTAACAAAATTAGCAAGTGAGATCTTCTAACGGAAAGAAACTTCTAAGTATAAGTTAATGTAAAGTATAAGTATATCTTGAAGATAGTTGTACATATTTTTTTAAATGAAAGGCATTTATGTATAGAAGAAATGAAAATCTTTAAAAACAAATCTATCAAATAATTATAATGTGAAGAGAACAGAGCATAAAAATAATGTAAATAAACATATAATTTTTCATTCGGTTTTGATATAACCTAGGTAGATTTCAACAGATCGTCTTCATGTGCATCGAAGAATTCAAACATCAGCAAATTTGTTTTTTATTCATCTTAATAAAACATTTCTTCATTAAATATAATATTATTTTATTTTCCATTATTCCTGACCTATATCGCGAGATGCGGGTATTGATCGCGCCGCAGATGTAAAGAGCTACGGTGGAGACGCCAGCTGGAAAAGCTGCAGCTGCTCAAGGCCTTGACCTTGCTAATGTTGCGTTGGTAGAGAAACAATCGCGTTCGTACTAAAAGCTGATATTAATTGGCAAATACTGCCAAATAACATGCAATGATGTAATAACAGGCTTTTGAACTGTTATTTTTTCAATATAGGCGGTGTAAGTTTCTAATTTAAAAAATTATAGATACCGAATAGCTACAATGATTAGAAGTAACATACAGTAAATTGTAATAACAATGAGTAACTATTTATACATCATAGATATTTATTTATATTAATTTAGACATGACATTGGATAAGCATTATTCATTGAGAATCCCGAGTTGCTTCGTAGCTAAGAAAGTTTCCAAAAATCTCCTTATATTATTGATGACCTGTTATTACGAATGACAGCTTCGCCAACCAAAAATAGTATGAGTACACATTTGCCTTCACCAGCAAATGAATAAATAATAAATCATAGAATTCCATTATGTCATAAAATACTTGAAGTATAATGAAACATTTTTAATGTTCCCTCTATATTTAAATGATAAAATAATAAAAATAATAAATCTATAAAGTTAATATAAATGGAACAAACTAAAATCGTAAATGGCACTGTGTGATGTACAAAATATTTTATTGTGTGTTGAAAACCTATATGGTATTGATTTTATTTGGAATCCAGACAAATAGTTCAAAAGTTAAATAGTTTGCAGCTCATATTTAAGTAAATACTTCGTTGGCAATTGGATTATGCATTGAGCTTCGGTATTTCAGACATTTTTTAAACTCAAAGGTCAAACACGAGCTATTGAATTTCGCATATTGTTCTTTCTGCAAAGCAGGTAAATTGCAAATTGAATTATCTGGTTGAATAAAGTTTTAATTTAGCTATCTGTAATAATGACAATGGAATTACCTAACTGATTTTCATTGATTAAATTAGTTTTCACTAAAGCTCAACAATTGTTTAAGTATTTATTGTAATCAACGTTTGGAAGCCTGATTAAAATATATGTTCGTAATGGGAAAAATAAATATATACTATCATCTTGTTTATAGTATAAATAGATACAAAATGAAGAAAATACAAAATATAAATTAAGTGATAAGTGTCATACTAATTGGTTCTTAAATACACGTCGTACAATTTTTTTTAAAAGACAATGTAGATATATAATTTTCATACTTTGACTACTAGTGTAAAAATCAGTAAAGTCATTATGAAGTAGATGAATATATTCATATGTTCTCCCATAATTTTACTGATAATGAAAAATTTATTATTGATACTTAATTTATATTGTCTGACGTAAGTTCCTAAAATTTTGAAATAAATTACTATATTATTTTTATTTAAAAAGAGGTGAAAAATAATACTTCAATTTTTATTTGAACAGATACTAAATAAGAATATTTTGTTGATATGATAAAGAATAAAATATGCAAACTAAAATAAAATGAAGTATAAAAATTACTCAAAAAGCTTTTAATAATTGATCTAAAAGAATTTTCGAATTCATAACACTTTTGCAAATAATAACAAACACTTTCATTCTATCATTATCATTATTATCATTAACTAACATTGTCATTTTAGCAAGCATTCATATGAATATTAACACAAATTTATTGGCTTATCTAATTCGTATGATTCATTTAAACATAGAATATGCATTACTTATAAAATATGCATGCAAAAGCTCGAACATTAGTCATGTATTTGAAGGAATAAGGGATGATTGAGGTAGATAGATATTATCATGATATAGTATATGTTGCAATCAGGGACAAAACAATGGAAATGACCTAGATTTTTACGAAAAATTACTATAGGATATAAATCGAATAAAGTGATTTGTCAATTTTTTATGTCAATAAAATAATATATTAATTGTAAATAATTATAATGAAGTTTGTTAATGTAAATATTTAGTGCATTGAATTATGTCTAGATTATTGTACAATCGACTCGATCATATAATGTATATTACAAAAAATTCATGGAATTCTAGTTTACTATTTATTTAACTTGTCAAAATTTTTCTCGTATTTAGATTTTTGATTATCCCTAAGTATAAACTCATATTTGGTGACAGTTATTATAATGCTAGAAAATCTAAATATCGTTATTTGTGAAATCGCATGAGGTTGAATAACATTTGAATTTGATAGACAAAAATACTTCCTTAATATGTTTTAAATATCATTTCATAGCAAAGTTTCTACTCTATGATATTCACATACATTTGTCATATATTGTAGACCAGAAACTTGCTTATTGCTGGTCAATCGCTAACAATCGAAACTTTTATTCAAGACAAAAATAATTGAAGTGATGCCATAGTAATTATATTACCATAATTATATTATATTACTTTCAATGTCAGCTTTAATAACATTAGTATCGACTGAATGCATGTTGTCTAGGTGAGAGAAGAACAAAACACAATTTTTCATCAAAAACCATTGTATATATAAGTGAATGTTGATATATATTTTCGTTGTCACCTATAATAATGATATACGAAGGAGTGAATAATTACTTAGGCATTTCTACGCAAGCATTGTTTTATTTCACATAAATCAGGTCACGCCTTCAGAAAAATTTGACGCTCACATATAAAAAAAAGGAAGTCTATTAACAAAAATTCTAACTAGTAATATTTTACAACGACCAGATTTTTTTAAAGATCCTCATTTTGAAAATAAATGAATTGTGAGCAAAATTATAAAATAGGTAAACAATTAAAGATGATCTTCCGACTAATACGTGTTCTACAATGTAACGGCTATATGAATAAATAATAATTGTAGTATTAGCAAGTCTAAACGAAAAGACCTTGAGACAAATTATTATGTATTCCGGGAAAAGTAGTGATTTCCAAACGTTTAATAACCATTAATTTTTATATGGGGATTTTAAATGGGATTTAACAATTATTCATAAACTATAATCGACAAATAGTTATATACGCACACTCATAATAATTTTTTTTCACAACCAACTTTATAGAGCTAAAGATTTAAAAATTTAATTTTCATACATTCTCATAAAGCTGTCTGTTGATTTATTTATTTAATAGTTATAAACAAATCAAAAATTTAGTTAAGTGAAATTAGAAAAATAATTAATTGATGTCATTTTAACCCAAATCAATTTTTAACTTTGATTCATTGATTTACAGGCTGCTCTAGATAAAATCTGATGAGATCAGTTAAAAACAACATCAAATATTTTTTATAGTGATCAAAAAAATTAAAATAAGATTTTATTTGCTATAACATATTTATTGTAAAATTGAAATAAATATTTTTAAACTCTAATATCGTTCAAAACTCCATAATTATTATATTTTTTATGAAGTTATTTTGTAGATTGCACGCACGAGTTAGCATTATTGCTTATTCTGATCGTATATCTCTGTATAAAACAACAGTTCGTTATATGCCATCGTGATTTCAATAAAGGTTCGTTTTTTATTCCTATTAGAATTAGAAACCGCTATTCGAATTCATATCACTTATCTTGAACAGTAAATATATAATACATCGGCGGTTACACTTTCTGTTTCGCATAATTTGCAGAGGAAATTACTTT